AAGTCCGGCAGTACGGACTCCATACGTTCATCTGCTTTTACTTTCAATCTGTGGAAGATCCAGGTGGCCATATAACGTACCCCGAGCAAAATGACTTGTCTGCTGTACGTTGCCTTGCTAACTAGAGCAGCGGTCCCCAACCCTCTGGCTACGGACCGGTACTGGTCCGTGGGTCATTTGGTAACTGGCCACACAGAAAGAATGAATAACTTATATAACTTTAGTTTTATCCATTTTGGAACCTGAAAGATGTTTTATTTTGAAAAATTACCGGATTCTCTGTTACATCCGTCTACAGTATGTCACTATTGACGTGGGTCAAGGTGCGCTTATCGGTCATATGACAGGTTACCGCTAAAATGAAACCCAGGAGCGAGCAAAATAAGTAAAAAACAAACGTCTTTTGATTCTCTGTTACATCCGTCTACAGTATGTCACTATTGACGTGGGTCAAGGTGCGCTTATCGGTCATATGACAGGTTACCGCTAAAATGAAACCCAGGAGCGAGCAAAATAAGTAAAAAAACAAACGTCTTTGGGAAGGGGAAAAGGCCCAGGTGACAGAAGAGGAGCGTACAACTTTCAAGAAAAAGAAGGCTACATTTAATCGACAGTGTCAGGAGTCCTACTTAAAATACGGATTTATCTCAACGGGAGATTCCAACGTATCAAGCCCACTCTACATAATATGCGGCGATGGTGAGTTGTATTTTTCATGCATTTTGTATTTGCGCTGTATCTTATTTTGAAGGCACGTTTAAACGTTACCTCAGTGACCAGAGAGTGTTGCGGACAGATTCGGACACATTCCCCATGTCATAATTCGTGTTATTATATTTAGAAAATACAACAGTTTTCATGCAGGTCGTATCATATTATTTTGTTGTAAGGATGGTCCCTGAAAATATTGTCTGACATTAAACCGGTCCGTGGGGCAAAAAAGGTTGAGGACCGCTAAACTAGAGGATTGAGTGGTTGCAAGTGTTTTACTTCTCAAAGTAAATGTTTACCAAGTCAATGTCACTTGATGTTCTCATCCCTTTATCATGATCACTGAGAGGAAAAGGTTTTTAAACAGGGAAGCTAATTTGCTCTCCAAGTAGGACCGAGATTTTATGATGAGAGAAGATTAAAGAAAGAACCGGCCCACACATTAGCAAACATCCTTCTCCCACCAATTGTTTTCAGCTCGTGCTGCCTGTTTGTAATGTCACTTTGGCTTAATGGACATGTGTTTGTTTGGGAATAAAGTATCAACACCATTGCACACCACTAAATCCCAATACAGAGCCCGAACTCTGACCCTGAACATTGGCCTGTTTGTGTTGTGGCTCTACTTCAACCGTCTGCATTGCTTCATTTCCTGGGTCTGAGAGGAAGTTGTGGTTTTCTGGTGTGACAGATCACATGACGCCGAAGAAGTCGGTTTACACGGATCAAAATACGTCAGACTTTTAAATGTCACTCTGTAAAAACTTTTACTTTTTTATGTGCATCGGGTTCCACACGAGAGATTAAATGGCGTGGAACTTTCAAATCATGATTGTAGTGACCAAAATGAACACGATATTGCTTCAACAAAACAAAAAAAAACCCAACCCTGATTTAATTTAAATGCAGAATGTGACAATTTATTAGGCTTGACGCCAAACCGGCCTCCCAGACAGCATCAAGCTGAACAGGGCAGCGGTGGGGGGAAATCAGACAGACACAGGAATGGCATGCTGCAGCTGGAATGTCGTGCACAAACAGTGGAACAATTTAATTGAAGCAGGAGGACAAGGTTCAGACTCACTCCAGTTTATGCAGAAATGACATGACAGCCAAATCACCTTTATTTCTATAGCACTTCATCACTAATGTCCCAAAAGGGGTCTACATGCCCACAGTTTACATTAGATCAAGGATCACATCATCCTTCCTTTTCTCCAAACCGCTTCTAATCAACATCATCTTCATCGTCATGACAATACAGTATGTCCCTTCAGTGTGAAACAAAAGAAGCTGATATTCACAAACAGTGCAAGTGGTGGAGATCTACGAGTTTGGACCGAAATTAATTGTTTCTGGCCATTGGGACATTTAAAAAATATCATGTTGAGAATACGGCGGCTCTGTGGTCAACTGGTTAATTGCAGCAGGCGTGTAGTTTCGATGGCTTTCTGCCACCAAATTGTTAGATGTGCCCGGCGCATTGTCGGAGGCTCTAGCTTCAATTTTTGACAAAAGCATTTTCCAACCTGCCCCGCTGTTATGGTCATCCTTTCTAAACACATTTTTTTTAACACAACGATTGTCTTACCCACTTTCTGACCACCACTGTCCCTTGCAGATGAGTGACAAAGCCTTTCTTTGAACACACAAAAGCATGAAACTCCCTCGATCAATATTTCACATTGTCATTATCAGGGTGCAGGCTCAGGTTATGATTGGCACGGTGATGGAGGATTAAGTCATCCCACACCACTGAGTTAATCATTTTAACTATGGACTGTTTGCGACTGTGTTCACAACAAAGAGAGAGCCAAGGTGCAAGAAGGCATTTCTAATGTAATTATCGCCGAAGGAAGTGCGTTGCAAATGAGTTGGTGTGCAGTGCCAGGTTAAAAAAAAGACACATCTGGCAGACACGGGCTCTTTTTCACTCTCATTTGATAGGCCGGTTTCGCTTTCCAGCTTCCCATCTACTGCTGCTGTACGACCTTGCTCTCCAACTATTAAATGCATCCTGAGGACTTGATGAGCAGTGAGTTAAGAAAGCCATACAGATGAAGCAAGACAGCGAAAAAAAAAGCATGAATTACTATGAATTCTTGGTAGGTTTGATGCAATGACCCGCAAATAATTATGTCATATTCAATCATCACAGGAGAGTCATTTTTCAAGAAGCGGTGTGCATGACACGCTTGGACCCGCCCTTCACTCGTCGTAGTGCATTCCACTTAACCTTTGAGAAAGTGTTGCAATTAAAAAAAAACTTATTTTAGTGTTTTCATGTGGTTTACCGTCTCACTTCCTCGTGTAGTCATATCCTGAGTTCTGTCACACGGTGACGGGAAAGGCTTGGAACTGCTGATCAAACTCTTTTAAAAAGGTGACATACTCGCTTCTTTTAAATGAGCCTATGGTTTAATTTTACGGCAACATAATTCGGAACATTTTCTCGAACAATCCCCAAGAGCGATGACTGTTGAATGTAAACTAACAGACAAATATCCCGAATGTTTGCAACGATAACACTGAGGAATCATTTAAATCCTCGGGTTAATTGTCATTTATTTTTTTTTTTTTTTTTTTTTTTTTTAAATCAACTGTCTCAAAAGTGACGGCCACCCTTGGAGATGAGACAAGACGTCACTTGTTAAGATAGAGAGATCAAGACCTTGTGTTGGCAAAACAAGTTGATCCCCTGCTCTTAGAGCCACTGTGTCATGTGTGTTTACTTTTCATTACAGTAGTTGGCTGCACGCTGAACAAGGCTCTACATCATTCATTTTGTCTGTTGTCAAACTTTTAAAATATGCATTTTTTTTTTTTTGGACTCAAGCACTTAATCCAGGCATTATCTGTTCCTGCTCCAGGCCGTTGCGGGGGATATTTCTACTTCTAATTCCATTTTTGGATTGAATTGTGGGAATATTGTAAGCTGAAGTAAATGGGGACAGGCTGCTGGATGACAATTCTAGTGTATTTTGCAATATGAATTTCTTGTTTGTATTATTTCTGATGTATTCATTTGAAAATGCGATATCGTTCATTTACTGGCTCATTTGTTTTACATTCATGATGTTTTGTTGTTAGTGACATTTTATATGTTGAAAAATTGGTATCGCCAAGTACCGGTATCCATTCCCAGGTACTGGGAATTGAAACCAAACTGGTTCACATGTGAAAAATACCCACCCCCAATTGTTAAGTTAGTTGGATGCCCAAGATTTAACAAATGTCAATATCTTCATAAGATACCGTATTTTCCGCACCATAAGGCGCACCTAAAAGCCTTAATTTTCTCAAAAGCCGTCAGTGCGCCTTATAATGCGACGCGCCTCATATATGGGTCAATATTCAGATTTTTAAATGTTCTTTCAAGCGCTTTGTTACAGCTGCAGCGGTTGTGAAAGCGCTATATAAATAAAGCTGGATTGTGTTGTATTGTATTCCCCTTAGCGTAGCTCCGTCTAGTGGATGCATAGTGCAATAGCAGCCACTATTGTAGCTTCTCTCTATGCACCTTATAATGTGGCGCGTCCTACATATGACAACAGTTTTAAAATAGGCTATTCATTGAAGGTGCGCCTTACGCTCCTAAGCGGCTTATAGCTCAGAAAATACGGTAATTGAAACTTTTCTCAATCACTCATACCTGTAAGACTTTCTTTCGAGCGTTTCCCTCATCTTTTTAAACCTAGAGTCCATTCTCCACTGCCATCCTCCTCTTCAGCTTTGTGCGAAGTCGTGAAGCAGATCTCCGTTATATATTGTTTCAGCCACATGTGCAAAACGAATCACTTCTCTTGCTCAGCTTCATTAGCTGCAGACCTCTAAATCACGATGGGGCGATGGGAGTGGGGAAAAGGGACAGTGAAAAGAAGAAGGTGTCGCTGGGAATTTTTCTTTCCTCTGCAATGGAAAAGAAAAGACACACTCATAGTTAGGCAATGTAATTTGGAGTTAAGCATTGAATAGGTTCTGAGAAAAGCTTGAATTAATGCAAACCAGAGGGGCCAACCCCAGGGGGCGGAGCTATGTTGTAGTCACTGGTCACTCTCTGGCCATCCGAATATTGATGTCATGTAAGCAGTCGATATTTGTTTACTGCTGCGTCTGGTCCAGGGTGTACGCCCGCTCTCGCCGAAGTCACCTGAGACAGGAACTTGTTAGCCACGACCTCAAATGAGGGAAAGTGCAAAAGAAAATGGATGGACATATAGATATCGGATTGATAATGAGTTTGTTCATGAGTATATGTTCAAATGTGACCTAAAAATGTCTGATTGCAGAACTCAGTGTTGCGAGCAGCAACAGACCAGAGAAAAGCAGGAGAAGTCCATTGCAGACCCTCTACAGTGGAGACCAGGTGAGAACGCAAATGTCAAATACTATTTGCTTCCGGTTGGTACAGTGTACATTGTGTTGTGTTTCCACTGTCGAAATTTGTGAAGCCCACCAAAAATAACTGTCCCCCGTTCCACCTTCTGCAAGTGCGAATCAGAGTTTTTTTGGAAAGCAATTTGAGATCGACTGCTGCATTTTAAAAATCACCCCTGCTTCTATTATTTTAACCCGTGTTGAACCCTACAAGCAGCTGCAGCTGTTGGCTGATCAGAAGTCGCTTCAAGGTCGCAGGGAGCTGCTGGAGCAGGCTTGTCTGAGTCATACAAAGAAGCGGCGGGTCCTTTCTCCGGAAGATCTCAAACACCTCATTGTGGACGACAAACACAGCCTCCTTTACTGCTATGTACCCAAGGTTGGTTCCTCTGACTTAATTAGTATTGTTCATATCCTTGGTAGAGTGGTCACTTGAGATAAGAGTTGAATTGGTTCCATGACTTCGCCGTAACTCAGATCACGTATTTAAGGAAATGAACGGATATGCCATTCCAGCCTTCCCCTCCAAAAATGATCATGTTTTTTTAATACGAGAAATAGCGTTTTGTAATATTGTACATTATAAAAGCAAACAGTAACTGGCAAAATAAGAATGAAAGATTTCGCCACCTGTTTTTGCTTTCATTCAGTGGACACTGTCTTACTGTCGGCCTTGTGGTTAGCAAGTCTGCCACAGAATTAAAATGTTCTGGGTTTAAAACTCCACTCCAGCTTTCCTGAGTGGAGTTTGCGTGTTTGTCGACCCTCATTAGTTGTGAGTGTGAGCGTAAATGGGTTGTATATATGTGTGTTGGTCTGGCAAACCGTTCCAGGGTGGACCCCAACTCGGGTCCAAAGACAGCTGGGAGAGGCACCGGCTCACCCATAATGAGGACAGGCAAATAGAAAATAGATATTTGTCTTCATGCTCTAGTCGACAGTGAACCAAGGGACCAAGACTGAGAATGGTCAACCCCCCCTTAAAAGCAAACAAACAAAAAAAAACAGTAATCATGTTAAGGAAGTACATGTTTTGTTTTTTTTTTAGCGTCAAAACCATATACAGCGTACAGCGGTACCTCTACTTATGAACGTCTCTTCATACAAAATTTACGAAATGCCTCAACAGGTAAATATTGCCTCGTTTCGAAAGAAATTTCCAGATACGAACGGTAAAAATACAGTATGGTTTGCTGCTGGCAGCTCCGAGTTTCCTGAACGCAACATACTTCTAGCTGCTCTGCCATTGGCTATTACCGAGCATCATCCTGGCATCCCATTGGCTAAGAAGGACCTCAACCGTATGTGTGTAGAAAGATAGATATGTGTTTACGCAGCGTCATCGTCATTCACCCCTCGGGCCATGAGGTTTTTCCGATAGTTTGACGTAAATGTGAATCACCCAGAAAAGTGTTCAGCATTCCGGCGATCGCCCACTATGCCGATGTCGGACGTTTTCGAAGGATTGTTAAAAGCTGACAAAAGCAAACGTCCTTGGATCCGTTCTTTACAAAACGCCAGGCAAAACCGACTTTTGAGAGAACAGTAACTAAAGAGGGCAAAAAAAACAATGAGGACGCAGTTAAAAGTTAAATGACCATCATTTTTATTCTTTATTTTTTACATTATGCTCAACTCTCATTTATTGTGCCATAATCTCATTGTAACATGGATTTGTTACATATTTTGATGCATTTTTATGCTTGGGAAAACATTTATGTCTGAATTTTGGGGGGGCTTGGAACGGATTAGGGCATTTACACGGAAAACGCGTCTCTACTTGCAAAATTTTCTACTGAGGAAATTTCTTCCAGAACCAATTAAATTCGTAAGTAGAGGTACCACTGCAGTTCTAATCATAATGTCATAAGTTTGATTTGAAACTATATTTAACAGTTTTGGGCATATTATTCTGTGGTAAAATTAGGTTTTAAAGTATTTATATCGACAATTTGAAACATTTTTCGAGGGCTCTCTCAATTGACTATGTATTTTCGGCTGTTCACAGCAGTGTTTTGTCCACGACAGCATCCTGTACTCTGTACCTGAACTTGCAGCTGAGATCGTAACGCCGCTCGTCGTGTCCGCTTGTGTCATGAAATACGCGTCCTCCCTTCCAGGTGGCCTGCACCAACTGGAAGCGCATCCTCATGGTCCTCACCGGCGACGGCCGCTACAGCGAACCCCTCGCCATCCCCGCCAACGAGGCCCACGTCGCGGGCAACCTGCGCACGCTGTCCGAGTTCTCGGTCCCCGAGATCAACCGCCGCCTGCGCAGCTACCTCAAGTTCATCTTCGTGAGGGAGCCTTTCGAGCGCCTCGTTTCGGCCTACCGCAATAAATTCACGCGCAGCTACAACACAGCTTTCCACAAGCGCTACGGGACGAAGATCATCCGGCGGCACCGCACCGACCCGGATCCCGAGGCCCTGGAGAAAGGGAACGACGTGTCTTTCCAGGAGTTTGTCCAGTATCTCGTAGACCCTCGGACCCAACGAGAGGAGCCTTTCAATGAGCACTGGGAGAGGGTGCACTCGCTCTGCCATCCGTGTCTGATCCACTACGACGTGGTGGGCAAGTACGAGACGCTGGAGCCGGACGCCCGCGCTGTGCTCTCGTTGGCGGGGGTGGAGGACATAGTTCAGTTCCCAACGCCCGGGAAAAGCACCAGGACGGATGGCGACATGGCGGCTCGCTTCTTCAAGCACATTAGTCCTTTTTATCACAAGAGACTGTTCAATCTCTATCGTATGGACTTCATGCTCTTCAATTACTCAACTCCTGAGTATCTGAGAACTTGATGAGAGGGGGGGGCTTTGATCTTTGTGAGCTCGACTCAGCTGTTTTCGTGATGGTCAATTTGCACTTTTTCATCACTGTGGACTTCGAAGCTTTCTCCTCGTTGCTGTATGATGAGCCTCGTATGCAGAAAATTATTTAATTTTATGGTGGAAATTTACTTGTACTAGGGCTGGGCGACATGGCTTAAAAGTGAAATCCCCTTATAACCCCCCCCACGCCCCCCCAAAAAATCCGACCGGTGATAGGAATCGATATCCACCCCACCCCCTTCAATAAAAAGAAACCTTTCAGGGACAACGGTTACTACAGTGGACAGCCTATCAGGTTATCGTTATTTGTGCATGAAAGGGTGAAACAACCCTCGATCCATTTAAATTAAACATTAACATGAATAAATAAAACAAAATCATTTTACATGTTACAAAATGATCTCTGAGGGGGCATCGAATGAGAGAGATCGATTTCTAGCTGATAGCATTCAACCGTGGGAAGTTTAATTTCATGCTGCTGCAATGTTTGGTGGACTTCTGGACAATCTTATTGTGAAGTCTCACCAGCGGAAGAAGTCTGATAAAAAAAAAAAACAAAAAACAATGTACTGACTTGATGGGAATAAACCCCAGGTGAGGCCGGAGCTGGAATTGAACCCATAATCTCTGCACTGTGAGGTCGACGCGCTAACCACTAGTACCACCGGGCTGCCCCCCCAGGTGAAGTGTTTAAAGTAATTGGATGAGCTATAGTACAGAACAGATACAAAGTTTATCGTTACAGCCGCTAACCATCATTTAAGTCGATCGGTGTGTGGATAAATGACAGGTTTTGCGATGTATACATGGGCACTTGTCTTTGATGATTTCAGTCCAATGGACTCCATGATTGACTTCTGGCCAGGCTCCTTGTGAAATCATTTTGCTCATGTTGTTTTTCGACAGCCTTTGAATATAGCACCTCTCTCTTTGTAAGAATTTAAAAAAATATATTTTTGGGGGGCCGGGGAGGAAATAAATAAACGATACTCGCCCAAAAAGAAGGACATCGATTAAATCGATTAATCGCCCAGCCCAACTTTGTCCATGGCCCCATAGTATTGCTTTCTAACATGACTCGAGTGTGACTTGCTGAGCCAAGGACCGATGAGTGAAGCCTTCTTATTTTTGAGGAGCAGGTTCTCCTCCCCGCACGGAGGTACTGACTGTGAACATGAACATTTATTCCAAAGTACCTCTGATATCCGGAGACACCCTAAATTATACATGTCCATGCATTAGGTATTTATTGTTGTACAGAAATGTAAGTAGTCTTATGAGCAAGGGGTGAGAATCATGCAATTTGATATCACTGCGATTTTTTTTTTTTTTTGCCAGCAAGAGCAACCATATCGCATCAATAACATCATTTGGGGGGGGTGGGGGGTCATTTGAAATGACATTTGGGATGCACATGTGACTATTCATCAATCAGTTTGGGCCATTTTGTGGAACTGCTGATTAAGTGCAACAAGAAGTTGTTGGTGCAAAAGGTAACTGGCTGCAACCAGTAGAAGTGCTCTTAATTCAGTCTCATCTCGTTTATCAGTCTGACCAAAAAAAAAAAAAAAGTGATTTTGAGTACTCAATACAACAGTGCCAATGAAACATGATTTTAGAACGTAGAGATTTTTCTTTCCCTTAGATTAAAATTTAAAAAAAATAATAAAATCACACACATTGGCAATAATCAGTACATACTTGGACATCAGATAGTTGCAATGTTCTTATGTGATCGTCTGCACATCAATACTAGTGTACTGTGGGAGATAACGATTGCAATATCGATATTACGTCCCACCCCTACTAATAACATTTGTGTGCTGAGTTTGAATGAGTAGTATGGATTTCTTCCATAGAGCCAGTTGTTTTTTTGCACATGATTTGATGCCAAATAAAAATCCCAAGTTTATTTGCTCATCTCCTTAAATTCGCTCTTATATGACATGTGCACAGTGTCCTGCCCGTCTTGAGTCATTTCCATTTCAGGTTACAGTCACTGCCCAATTCCAGGAAAAGTTTGCCATCCCTCCACTATTGCCGCCTGTTTCGGACTGGGCAGCTACGCTGGATAAACAACGGCACGACTGTGGTCGAAGCTTGAGCGAAGCCCAGCTCGGGTCAGAGCTTCCCTTGTTACGGCCCACCCGGGACCTGAAGCGGTGGAATCCGCCAACATCACCGTTGCGGAGACGTGCTCGTCATGAACCGCAAAGAGAGGAGTTTTCTCTAAAAGGTGTCGTGCTGAGCTGCAGCTTTTCAAGACAAAATTGCAAGTGTGTAATATGAAGAGACGTCCAACATGAACCATGCGCCGTTTCATCTTCAGATGATTTCAGCTGGAAAGTGACCTGAGAAATTGATGAACAGGAAATAGTACGTAGTTAAGTGCAAACTTCTGGCAAGGTTGTTCTGTGAAAGAGAGAGATTTATTCATTTAAACCGTGCATTCAGGTGGATCGTAGGATTGTACTGTTCTAAAAGATGAGTAGAACTGGTCTCAATAGAGAATATGGTAAGTTTTTTTTTCAGTAGTTCAGTTCGAAAAGAGGAACATACACAAGAAAAGGCTTTTTCGAAGGCCAATTCCAAACAAATTTCTATCCTCATCATTTTGATTGTGATAATTTAATTTCTACAGACGATAAAATTTGGCTTCTCATTAACTGCATTTTGGGGAATGAGCTACATTTTCTCTTCTATTTAAAATTTACTGGTGCACTTGTATCTTGGGATACAGTAATTACTCAAGCTTGAGTGTGGGGCTTCCCACTCACGTTCAGTTCTAGCTCTTATATTCAGATGGGATCAAATTAGCTTTCTGGGTGAAGCAGGTAAGGAATTAATACTGGTACACGTTAGAAAAATAGATTTTATTCACGCTGCAAAAAAAAAAAAAAAATGGTAATAAAAACACACAGTAAAGCACACAACCATTCACTTTGCTCACATTGATCACAAATATTCATGACTTATACACAAATCATCCCAGAGCCTTCAGAAGCTTAAAAAGTCCCGGTCAGAATTTGCTTTTGACAACAAAAATTTATAAATAAATTATCATATCGTAATATGAATTGGTTGCGTGCAGTAAACAGTCACCAATACATTTTTTACATGCAAATTACAGGAACAAAAACGAACTCATGGGAAGAAACACACAGGGATACTTCTACATTTAAAGGTTCCAACAGTGTTGTATCACCATTATTCATTAACAATATTGTGGTCATTCCCGTAATATCCTTGTTCAAGAAAACACAAAAACAAAATACCGTATTTTCCGCACTATAATGCACACCGAAAAGTCTTCAATTTTCTCAAAAGCCGACAGTGTGCCTTCTAATCCGATGTGCCTTATATGTGGATCAATATTCAGATTTATTGGAAGTAACATTTTAAATGTTCTGTAAAGCGATTTGTTACAGCTGCAGTGGTTGTGAAAGTGCCATATAAATAAAGTTGTAGTGTATTGTATTCCTTTAGTGTCGCTCCATCTTGTGGATGTATAATGCAACTGCAGACAATATTGTAGCTTCTATTCTATGCGTCTTATAAAGCGGAGTGCCCGATATATGAAAACAGTTTTAAAATAGGCCAGTCATTGAAGGTGCGCCTGATAATCCGACGCGCCTTATCGTGCGGAAAATACGGTTATCACGTGCAAATACATTCACAACGGAAAACTCCAAACGTTAAGTCTTTCGTTTACTCTGGAGGCAGACAACTCCTGCCAAAATGTATAGCCTTGGCAAGCCGAAGTCACTTTCTTCCGGAAAGCCAGTCCTGCACTGCGGCTCAGGCCCAGTTCAAAACTGTGCAATAAATTTTGTCTATTTGCTGTGATGTATTTTTCGTGAACAAGGCCACGCTTCCGCGGAGGAAGTCCATTCCGCGAGAGACAATAGTTTGTTAATATCATTCGGCATTAAAATCGGTTTTAAATAACCAGAAACGAATAAGCAGCCGACGGCACTGGAAGCATTAATTTAAAACTTTTTTTTTCATGCCCGCTCTTTGCTGATTTCGCTGTCTGCTCATGTTTGCCCCGCCTCAAAATGTGTCGGATGAGACAATAAGCAGTGATTGAGTCTGGATTTCCAGGCTAGCCAAAACGAGCGTTGACTGAAAACAAAAACAGACATTTTTTTTGCACTCAACTTCAGTTGCAGCTGACAAGTGCTGACAACACTCGCCACTTTACAGGGGCAACACAGACCAATCACATACAGATAGTGTAAACCCTGTCTAAATGAAACTCCTCCCCCTCACATGAACGTAGTTTCATAGCACCAAAATGTCACAAGAGCGTATGAAAAGCAATTCACTTCTTTTATATTAGACAGGGCTGTGTCCTAAGCATAAAAACAGTGAAGTGAAATTTGTCAGTGTATAACAGATGAGAGAGTCCATAAAAATATCCCCAAATCGGTAAATCCGCGAGTAGCGAATTGCAGAAAGGCAGGGGAACACTGTGATGCAACGGGTAAATGAAATGCATAATATAACCAGATGCATCTAAAAATGTTGGTCTGGTTCTCAAATGAGCACCAGAGGTTGTCGTTTGGGGCTCCATTTTGTTCACCGCCGACCTCATTTTAATATAAATTTTTAAAAACGTTTTCAGCTTTTATTTTTTTCAACTACAGCGACATTTAACGCTTGGAAGGTTTTATAAAAAGACATTACATTGAAATTCAACACAATCGGGCGTTTTGAAAAATGAATTTTTGTTGAACTGGTTGCATTGTTCTCGAGGGCAGCTAGCAAGACGGCAATCGCCATTGGCCCTCGCAAGCATTTGATGCGGCCGCTGCTGACTCGACTTCAAATGGAGGCTGGCCTGACCTATTCTGAGTGCACTAAAGCGAGGTGACCGACTCGAACTGGAGCGCAATATTCCATTTCCTAGTCCTTAGGGGCACTGCTTTTGCACACCCCTGACAACAACCCCCAACCTCTTTTCTTTCTTTTTTTTTTTTTTAACCTGTCTCCATTCAAAACAAACCCGAGCAGCTGATGTTTGCACAAGTGCTCACCATGACATTGCACCCGGTCACACTGAAGGTGACGGTCCATAAGGGAGCAATGGTGCCAAAACGTTGCATCGCTGACACACATGAGAAGTGCCAAGCGAAGCACATTCTTGCACGTCACATCACCGCTGTCCATATTTATTTGCGGTCGAACCCTTGTACGCAAAAGCCGATTTTCATCGCATCTCCTAAAGCATGAGTCGTGGTTTGGGATAATCAAGAGCCTTTTCCAAGCAAGTTACTGAAACCTTTTGGACCATGGGAAGAGGAGTAGAAAGTTGTCCAGTGTTCCTCTCCAGTTGTCGGACATCCAGAGCGCAGCAAACAGCAGGTTGGTGCTCAGGCTGATGACTAAAAGCACCATCCAAACCCAGCGTGCCGTATCTGCGCAAGACCAAGCAAATGAATGTTTGCTGTTATAAGGGGCGGAGATTTACGACAGGTCTCAAGACGTGAAAACTCTTTAACAAGTCGGGAGCTATTTCAACTTACTCCCAGCAAATGCATTCCTCTCAATTGCCATTTTTAGCGATGGGGAAAATGAGTTGGAGTAGGGGAAAAAAAATAAAACATTCAACATTCTCAGGCCAACTGCATACAGTACATTTAAGAGGCTGCCTCTGTGATCAAGTTGGACAGTAAGTGAGGAAATTTTTCCATAAGAAACTTTTTTTTTTTTTAAATCTAGTTGAGCTATTTAGTACAATCTCCACAACTTTTGACTACTGGAAATTACTGCAGACCAACCCAGAGAACAAATTTGAGCGACTAACTCCTTCGGAAAAGAGCTTGAAAGATTTTTTTTTGAAACACGTATTCCAAAAGATGAAGTACTTGAGATGTCTGTCGAGCAGACTTCAACAGATTAACTGATCTCTACTCTTGTTGTTGGCTTCCCATTTGTATTGTTTGTGACAAGACAGAAGAGGAAAAGAATACACACTGTCCTCATTCTCATTTTGTCTATGTTACTCTGGATGGGTTGTAAGTGGGTTGACCCCCACCCACCAAAAAGTGCTTCACCACAAGGTCAATCATGTGTGAACTTTGGCTTTATTATTTATTTATTTATTTATTTTTACTGCAGTTAAGACTCAAAGTTTGTTTGCTTTTAGGTTTTAAAATGAGCGGTGTCACTTGTTTTTGTTCCATTCTAGAATGGTTTATGTCCTATTTGGTTTCGAAATCTGAACAGAACCAAAAATCCCTGAAAGGGATCCTGGTCGACCTTTAGAAGGTTCCGCTTTTAAACCAACAGTTAATTGGGGACTCACGACAGAAGTGTGCACGCAATATACAATTCAGACTGAAAACTACCATGCAATATAAAAAATAAAAATAAAATCAACTCCAAACTTTCATAAAACAGCAATAAAACGGCCATTTGATGTAAGATTTTTTTCAGACCACTGGAAGATTAGCTGGTGCCAGTGGCATTCATCTCAAGTGGATCCTTTCAAATAAATCAATACATATATAAATAAACCAAGATCTGGTCCTTGATGAGCTTACTTTGTGAGGAGCGGCTGCTCTCTGGCAACCCAGTCACCGAGCCAGCCAGTGACGTCAAAGACCCAGAAGTGCTGCTGGCTTTCTCCTTTACACTGCGGTCTTCGTGGATTGAAGTCAAATCTGGAACGTGGTGACATGAAGAAAGTCACTCGTATTTAAATGTGCTTTGTTAGTAGACCAAGTCTGCTTTTTTTTTTTTTACACAATAATAAGCGACATGGGCGGCCCGGTGCTCCAGCGGTTAGCGCGTCAACCTCACAGTGCAGAGGTACCGGGTTCAATTCTGGCTTTGGCCTCCCTGTGTGGAGTTTGCATGTTCTCCCCAGGCCTGCGTGGGTTTTCTCCGGGTACTCCGGTTTCCTCGCGCATTCCAAAAACATGCATGTCAGGCTGATTGAACACTCCAAATTGTCCCTAGGTGTAAGTGTGAGCGTGAGCGCTGGGCCTCAAAGAAAGCTATCAGGGATATTGAACATATGCTCAAACGGCATCGCGCAAAAGTTAGGGGCCAAGTGTTGGCGCTTTGTTGACGGTGCCCGTTTTGGCACCGCAGCTGTTAACCACAAAGCAGCAGCTGCATGTGCATGCGCATCAAAGCAGCGTCACACCATGAGGTCATCTAAGCCATGTGTGACCGTTGTAAGATAAGATAAGATAAGATAACCTTTATTTGCCCCACACCGGGGAAATTTGCAATTTATTCGGTGGCAGTTAAGTCTGAGCTCAAGTCAAAGACGCCAATTGAGGTTTTCAAGAAAAGAACTATTAGGTTTACTATAACTATACACCGGACATTTAAAAAAAAAAAAGGGACACGAGCTGACATAAGCTGTTTATTATATATACACACAGCAAAAAAATTCCTACAAAGTCTTAAATAACAGTAGACTGGAAAAAAAAATAAATCAGACTTCAGTGTGCAGACAGCTTCCAAACTGCTGAAAAATACAAGCCTTGACAATCGGTGACACCGCATATTCCAGCAAGATGTTTAGACTTTTTGGACTCCCATTTGAGTTTGTTTTAAGCCAACAATCACAGTGCTCCATTGTTGCCAATTTATTACTTGCTTTCGGACAATATGGGGGTGAAATAAATAAATAAATATTACAAGAGAGAGTTCTACTTTTGCAAGAATAAATATGATGATAAATATGAGAATTATTTGTGGATTGAGTTACTCTGAAAAAGAAAATAAGAACCAAGTACAGTAGTTGAGAATAATAACTGAAGTCCAGCAATTATTTTCAAAATAAAACACTATATTGCAGGCCACGAGAGACAGCAGCTGCTAGGAGGGTCTCAGGCCATCGTACTTCCCTTCATATGTGGGATTTTGACACAAATATTACTTTATTTTCAGGATGTCCAAAAGACTTCACATAATGTTCTGGCTTATTCATTCATGTTACAGTGCTATACAAAAAAAACAAAAACAAAACATGAGTAAAACACAAATATTTGCTGTATGAAGCTGTGGCTACATTTGTAAAAAGTAGTGCATTTCAAGACGCATGCTTATCCCACACAACATCACAACTAAAACCAGTGTTACCTCAGGTCATTGTTTCCCAACCTTTGAGCCAGGGCACCCATTTTACAAAAAAAAAAAAGTCTCACGGCATAAGACTAAACAAAAAAATCCTGAAATAATGATGACTCCCGTCTCACCTTCCTCCCAAATTAACCTACTCAGTATCTTATGCGGGCCTGTTTTATTTGAACATCAAGACAATATACTTCCAAAAAGCCAAGCCACATTCAGTCTGTCGTGTAAATGGCAACAAGTGGATACACGGGTTGATTGTCCTTTCTGTCATCGAATAAAAAGAGCATTTAATGGTTGTTTTTCACTGAATGTGGCTGGCACCGATAGATGACCAAAAATATCTTGCAATCCATGATGTACATTTCAGGCCACACTTTGTGGAATTGGTTCATTTCCTGCGGCACCCCGGATGATCTCTCGCCGCTAACTAGCGTGCCGCAGCACCTTGGTTGGGAATCATTGCCTCAGATTGTATGCACCGGGGAGAGTGGGACACGTGACATCAAAATCAAGCAAGTGGACAGTGACAAAGGGCTGAAAGTTAAGGCACACACCAGCCAAAGGAGCCATTGTGGTAAAAATATAAACCTGTGCCTGCAGTTAGAAATCCCACTTGCACAGCTTTTTAAAGTACTACTTGGGATGCGTGATTAGGTACACGTTGTAATATTGCTTTCGGGTTACAGTCCTATCACTTGTGTTCTCTTCTCCAATTTGCCCATAAAAAAGATTGAACAATGCTGAGGGAACACTCCGTTGCGATGCTTTGCTCATCCATGACACAATTATCCTGATGGGCCACATTTTTTTAATGTTGAGTTACTTGGCAGCAGTGGCCATTTCTGTACAGGTCCCACCCATTTCCAAAGAGTGGAGCTTGATTAAAGGAGGCATCGGAGGAAGTATGTCGTGGTCATAAGGTGGATGGCCTTTATCATGGCTGCAAAGCTGAACGTGGCAATCTAGTGCCATGTGATTGGCTGAGTAGATATTGATGCAAATTTATGATCAGTTGAGCAGGTTGGACCTTATGAAGTGCCCAGTGAGAGTTTTCATTTTTACATCGATGAACAGATGCGGAAAGAAAATAGTCCAAGTGGCTACAAAACAATGGCTGGTATGTGGAGGACAAAATGAACAGACAGTCATGGCTACATTCGGACATTGAACAGTACCAGAGGGGGGAGGGAAAAAAAGAAAAGAAAAAGAAACTGCTGTGCGCCTAGAAAGAGGGACACATCAATTCCTTTTCCAAAAGGCTTTCAAATGCTGATGCCCCAACAACACCACCATTTTATTCAACTACAGTGTAGCATAATATCAACAGCAAATTCGCAGGAGAGATAATATTAGATAAGGTACTCCAGTGAGAATTAAAAGTACTCAATTGACGTGGCATTTTTACGGAATATGTTAAAAGATGAGCTGCTGGTACAATTACAAGCTTTCCCCCTCCATCATTTCATAAATATTGAGCTAAGTGGCGCGCGTGGAGAAGGAAGTTTTGATGAACATAAATTCTGTCAACCATGCTTATTATCTCGACGAGTGATTTATGGTTTAAATATTGTTCAACTGGTGCAGGTGGTGAATTGTCGTGTTTGAACAGTGATATAAGGCGGCACCCCAAATTTTACAAAAAAGTGATATTCATAGTTCACGGCATAAGGAAAGTATGTGGCATGATTGCTTTGTAGTGAGTGTAAAAATGCTACAGGTCTTACAAGAAATGTGAGTGTAACGAAATTTTAAAAATAAATTACATTCTCAAAGCTGACAATGATTTCAAATGACATGAGGAGGGCTGTTATGGAATGGGGCAAGTGCACTATAAAATAATATTTAGTGATTATGTCTACTGCTGTATGTTCTAACTTGCTCACAAATTTGGGTGACGTCTTCGTTACCGCACCCTTTATAACAAGTTTACTAGCTATTTATTTCATTCTGGGTTTGTTCCACATGATGATGCTGATGATGTAAACACCAAGCAACACACGGCTTCAATTCGTTTGCTATTTCTAAGTACCGTATTTTTTGGACGAGTCGCACCTTTTTTGTATTTTGGCTGGTCTTTCGACTGACACTCAGCTCCAACTTGTGCAATTAATATGATACGAATTTTCAGATTCAAATCTCGCACGCACTCCATTTCAGAAGGTGGCGGTGGTAATGCGTCAACGCAATTTGCCAATCGCCAAAAGAAAGCAGAAATAGAAACGGAATGAGAAAAGGAAGAAGAAACAGAAGTAGTAGTAGTCATGGCAACCCATGTGTGACGCAAGTCGTTAGTTTGCTGCCGCTTCTCACGGAAATACATGAAGAGAGCGTCTCCCCAGCTAGCTTGCTAGAATTTTCTCTTTACAGCACCAAAAGGCAGAAAAACCAATGAGGTTTTGACCTTTGGCCACAATGCAACACAGGATCCGAGTTAAGGTAAGCCATTTTAAACTAAAAAGAAAAACTTGTTCGAAGCAAAAGTTTTGAATCCAACCAGAACTTGTTCACTGTGGTCAACAGAATTAGGTAACAGGAATTTTTTTACCTAAGTTCAAGCGCAAATGTTTTTGGTCTAGTTTTTCCCTAAAAATGTGATATAGTCCAGTGTGACATACAGATCCATTTTCTTCTTCATTATGCTTTTTTTTTGTTTGTTTTTTTTACTGTTGTGGCTCAAAGTCCGGAGCAACTTCTAGTCCAAAAATTACGGTAAGTCCTATTTGTAAAAACATTGAGTACTCTACACAAGGAGTATTTAAGGTTGACGGTGAGATTGTTTTGTGTCCCACTCAAAAGTGACCCACATTTCTGCATGATTCTGGTTTTGTGAAAGATGAAGAAAGAATGCGAAGAAGCAACAACAATCATCGTGCAAAGTACAGTACATCAGCGCTGAGATTCTGACCTTCGATATCTGCCTCTTCGTTGACTCAAAGGGTTGCGTGTGGCTACGGCGGCGGCAAAGCTGACAAGGCAACACAGCACGGTGGTGACGTGTGTGGCAGGCCAGCTGGAGGCGTCATCCTCGACGTACGCTGCCAACAGGTGCCAACAACAAACCAGGAACCACAGCACCGAAGACACTATATCAATTCTCCTCAACCTGATAATCACACCAGATGGACGGTTGACTTTTCCTCCTCAAACAGATATCCGCAGCAGAGTGAGACTAACCTGGCCGCTCCTGCTAATTGGAGACCAATGAGGCACGATGAAAGGCCGACACAAATGACCGCCATCTGATTAGCTTGTCCGAAGAGCCACAAGAGCTTGGCATCCTCTACAAGTGTAACCGGGAGGAGGTCCAGCAGACTCTGCCATGACTGTGTGACTCCATCGCTGCCATTTTTGGTGGCGGACACGTTGTGGGCGATTGATTGGGAATGATTCAGTCCTCCGTTTGAAGTCTGCCGGTCGGCCGAGAAAGTCAAAGCGAGCAGAAAAGCACAAACGAGGAACGAGAGACATCTAAGCAGGACGACAGCCAGAGAACAGGATGCAGAGAGGGAGCCCTGTAAGCAAGATAGAACTTCATGGATTAGACAGAAGTAGTCAAATTTCAAGGGCTGAAATGTAGCGATGCTAACAGTTTAAAGATGCCCCTGTTTCCTGTGAAAGGTAAAAACTTTAACTGCTTCCAACTAATACCAAGCACGATTTTATATCACCTTTTGCAGGCCACAAAACAGATTGGCAGGACAAATATGGCTCACGGGTCTCAAATTTTACACGTGTCCTAGATTTATTTACACTATAGGGTACAGATGCCATAATTACAAATGCAGTGTGATATCTTCACATTGGAATCAGGGCTCTTCCAAATGTGGATAAAATCTGACATAATGCATACCTGCCGATATGAGCGCAAGAAACGCTTCGTCAATGCGAACTTCATAGAAATAGTAAACTCGAACATAAATAAATCTGAACAACAGTGAAAGAATAAACAAAAATGATGTTGTTTCACTAATTCCGTGGCAGAAAAAAAACAACAACAGTGGTGTTATACCTCTGATCACTTGAAATGTACATGTAAATAGAGCCCCCCCCAAAAAAAAAATACACACACACACACACACACACACACACACACACACACACACACACACACACCTTAGGCACTGGGCACTTGGATGTGTAATGTAAATCTGGTTCTAGATCATACCTATTGACACATTCATTTTTCAAGGTCTGCACATACCTTTATGAAGCCCTTGAGTGACTCTTGAGTGTGTTTAAGATGTTTGCTGAGCAGCACGGACCGAAGCTGGCGGTTCTGATGTTTAATGTAATAGTCCACAGCTGCCTGACAAGGCCTGCATAGTTTGTAGTGCTCCTCCAAGTGACACTTGTAAGCGTCAATCTCCTCGTCGTAGTTCCCCTACCGAATTAAAAACAAAGGATTAGTGTCTTCAGGCTTGACAACAGCAAAGCCAGCATTTTAATACATACATCATCCTTTGGTATGAAAGAGGCCAGCAGCCTGATTTTAGTTGACTGGTTGTGGTTGCACTTCCTGCACAGGAGCATCTTGGAGTTTACCCACTGCATGGTGCCAAGAGTCACCTGAGTAGGAATACTGCCAGACACTCCATGGTTCAGATCCTCTGTGTACTGGGCCGGAATGGGCTTGTTGTAGTCCCCGTTCTGATATCAGGACAAAGAAATGTTTCGTAATACAACACGTACAAATCATTTTCAATCTTGTGCCAAGAGTGTTATTAAACATGCGGGAAACTTACATCCTGAAATCCATTGTACTGGTCACAGCTGGGGCAGTCCCAACAGTTCCTGTTGCCATATGGAACGACTGTGTCCTGATTGCAAAACCAACAGTTCACTGTAGCATTCTGGGGCTTTTTCCTGTGAATTGATCAAAGTTTGAAAAAAATGTTGACACCATTGGACAGTCAGCAGAAACCTGTGGCTATCAAAGAAGGAAAGGAGTTGTTGGAGTTAAGTTTCTGGTTTCAAATGGATTATAGGCTAGAAAGAATTAAAGGATCATAGCTCGCTGCTTTGTAAACATTTTGTTCTGTGTGGGGGTGGGGTGACAAGGAGACACACTCCTCACCATCATATGTGTGTGTGTGTGTGTGTGTGTGTGTGTGTGTGTGTGTGTGTGTGTGTGTGTGTGTGTGTGTGTGTGGGGGGGGGGGGGGGGGGGGGGGGGGATAAACCCTTTTCCGTCCAAATAATTGGCAATGGAAACTTTTCCACGGTGTACACTTGATCACTCTCACGGTGCACTAATGTGCGACAGCACGCTGGTTGATAATCACTGATTTAATACATCTCCACACGATCATGGTGACAGGACGCAATCTCATAGAAATCTACAAAGTAATATAGACAGCAGTCAAAGAGTCATTATTAAGCTACATGAACATAACTTAATAAATGTTCCAAATAATAGTTTTGCTATTTGCATGTTAGAACGAGTGGGGGTTCAAAGTCGGGCCATGTTGTTACCTGTTAGCAAGCTTGTAGATGAGCACGCCGCCGGCCACGAACGCTGTGGCGCTGTACAGCACTTGAGGATAGAGCTGCAGAAGGTCCTTGAACGTCTCCATTGCACGAACAGAAAAAACGCTTGGAAAAAGAAATTGTAGACGTATCTGTGTTTAAGTGTTTTTAATGTGTATGAAAGCTTCTCTTTTGTCAGGGCTCATGTGCCGGAAACGGAAATACGTCATCGCCAGGCCGCTTTCCAATAGGATCCGATATTCCAACTACGTTCATAAATTGGCGTAAAACGTGTTTGTTCCACGTGGATAAAATGAAGTTAGTTCATAACAAATAACCAACTAATTCAAATATGTCAAGATTTGTTCAGTTAGATGAGAAGTAGTCATTTTGTAAGATTCATCAAGAGCGTGTAACTCATCTTTTCTATGGTTGTCTCATTCGTATACAGTACGTGCAGGTTCTGGGGAAAATGTAGAGAAATCATTTTCTCAAAACACTAGCCATACTATAAATATTGATGGTAAAAATATTATCACTTGGGTTGATTACAAAGTTGCAGAAATTTGCAATGTTGTTGGTCTTGTTATTCTGTTAGGGAAATTTCATATTCACAAAGCCAATGTCCATGCGTTAAGGTATTTTTTGATGAAGCGTGATTGTTGTATTTGAGTCTCCATTTCGTCATGAAAAGTTAAAAAATTTTTGACATACACATCGTTTTTTATTTCAAATCTATAAATAACTTGTTTAAAAATGTTCATTTACTTAAATGTTGTTACTGAGTCATCTTTCTTTATAATGATGTAATTGAACTGAATGTCTGATTGATTGTATATGCTGTACTGTATTTCTTTTGTCTGTTTTCATTCGTTGTTATTTTGACAAAGTATGTGTGACTGAATTGTCAGAATGAATAAATGGTATGACGAATCAAAAAAAGAGATTCGAGATACTTGATTATTTCAATCATGAAACACACAATTTCAAATATTTGCTGCAATAATTCTATTTTAAAATAATTGTATTATAATTAAGAATCGAATCAATCAAGCTATATTACGGAGCCCCTAAGGTAACATGGAAGAAGAAGAAAAAAATTGCATTGCTCACAAAGTTCTTCGTATAAAGAAATTATATTTGAAGGAGGACTATTTTGCTTATGGACTCAGTAAAAGTAATGTTACGTATTTGCGTCTTCCTTGTCTCGGTGTTTAAATTAAACTCAATCTGTTATTAGGCTGTATATAGACCTTTTTTTGGGGGGGGGGGTGGTATTACTTTGCAATTATCTTTCGTACATTCAGTCCGAAAAATAATATTAATACTAATACCCCACAAAACCGTCTAATAGGGCTAAACGTTGAACAGAGAAAGAAATTAATGTAAAGTGTGTAACAGGTTTCAACGATGGTCTGCGTGATTCAAAAAAGGTAAACCTTAACTTTCCAAAAACATGTTTATTCAACAAACATGATGAATTTGACATCAAGTAAACCTGTTAAGTGTGCTTAAACCGCTGTGCAGAAGCCAACGAACATAAATAAACATCAGAACATGAACAAAGTTGGCTATAAAACATTTCGAAAATCCAAGTACAAAAATACAAAAATAACATTTGGCAAGTTATAATGATTTTCCCGAACGAAGGGGTCAGCATTTAACGATCATTTACTGCTCAAATTGCTCAACGTTGCCCCATGCCGGGCAAATACTGGTAGACGTACTGCCCCATCTCGGTGTCCAAGGTGGAGTTCACGGTGCCATTCTGGTACTCGTCCTGCGGCAGCAACTGCTGCTGGTAGACGGGGAAGGGCACAGAGTGGAAGCATGGTGGCATTAAATAGGGGCTCACCGGAGGGGAGTCGCTGAAGCCGGTGTGGTGCTGAAGCAGCGGACCCGTGTGGTAGAAACTCGGTTGGGGGGAGGTGGGCTGGCTCACGGTCCACAAGGAGCTGCTGTAGGTAGTCGGGTAGTTCGGGTAGGACGAACTCGACAGGTTACTCAGAGGTCTCCTCACACTGTGACGACGACGCCGCAACTTGCCCTCCTCGAATATGTCCTCGAAGGCGCGATCCAGCATCCAGTAGTTGCCCCTCCTGCTCCCGCAGCCCTCCCTTGGCACCTTGACGAAGCAGTCGTTCAGGGACAAATTATGTCGGACGCTGTTTTTCCAGCCTTTTTCGTTGCTCTGATAAAAGGGGAACTTGGAGGTGATGTAGTCGTAGATGCCGCTGAGAGTTTCCCTCTTGGCGGAGCTGTTATCAATGGCCATGGCGATGAGAGCAGCGTACGAATAGGGCGGCCTCTTCTCGCGGCGATTTTCCTCCTCCATGCCAGTACCTTTGGTCTCGGGCCGGGTCGAAGTGAAGCTGATGTCCGGTGTCGATTTGCTCGCCGTGGCGTAACGCGTCCTCGAAGCCCACAAGGGAATACACACACACACACACACACACACACACACCTTAGGCACTGGGCACTTGGATGTGTAATGTAAATCTGGTTCTAGATCATACCTATTGACACATTCATTTTTCAAGGTCTGCACATACCTTTATGAAGCCCTTGAGTGACTCTTGAGTGTGTTTAAGATGTTTGCTGAGCAGCACGGACCGAAGCTGGCGGTTCTGATGTTTAATGTAATAGTCCACAGCTGCCTGACAAGGCCTGCATAGTTTGTAGTGCTCCTCCAAGTGACACTTGTAAGCGTCAATCTCCTCGTCGTAGTTCCCCTACCGAATTAAAAACAAAGGATTAGTGTCTTCAGGCTTGACAACAGCAAAGCCAGCATTTTAATACATACATCATCCTTTGGTATGAAAGAGGCCAGCAGCCTGATTTTAGTTGACTGGTTGTGGTTGCACTTCCTGCACAGGAGCATCTTGGAGTTTACCCACTGCATGGTGCCAAGAGTCACCTGAGTAGGAATACTGCCAGACACTCCATGGTTCAGATCCTCTGTGTACTGGGCCGGAATGGGCTTGTTGTAGTCCCCGTTCTGATATCAGGACAAAGAAATGTTTCGTAATACAACACGTACAAATCATTTTCAATCTTGTGCCAAGAGTGTTATTAAACATGCGGGAAACTTACATCCTGAAATCCATTGTACTGGTCACAGCTGGGGCAGTCCCAACAGTTCCTGTTGCCATATGGAACGACTGTGTCCTGATTGCAAAACCAACAGTTCACTGTAGCATTCTGGGGCTTTTTCCTGTGAATTGATCAAAGTTTGAAAAAAATGTTGACACCATTGGACAGTCAGCAGAAACCTGTGGCTATCAAAGAAGGAAAGGAGTTGTTGGAGTTAAGTTTCTGGTTTCAAATGGATTATAGGCTAGAAAGAATTAAAGGATCATAGCTCGCTGCTTTGTAAACATTTTGTTCTGTGTGGGGGTGGGGTGACAAGGAGACACACTCCTCACCATCATCTCATCTCATCATTCAATGCAGTGTTTGCCAATTTGACTGAGCCAAGCCACATATTTTACATTGGATAAAAAAAAAAAATCACAGCACACTACTTCGCAAAAAATTGAACAAAGAAAGTGGATACATAGTTAAAAATGTAACTTCTGTCATCTAGTCGGAGAGCCTTTGATTGATCTGCCTGTTACTATATGTGATTGGCATAGATCGATTGACAAAACATTTGGGGGGGTCCGTCCAAATAATTGGCAATGGAAACTTTTCCACGGTGTACACTTGATCACTCTCACGGTGCACTAATGTGCGACAGCACGCTGGTTGATAATCACTGATTTAATACATCTCCACACGATCATGGTGACAGGACGCAATCTCATAGAAATCTACAAAGTAATATAGACAGCAGTCAAAGAGTCATTATTAAGCTACATGAACATAACTTAATAAATGTTCCAAATAATAGTTTTGCTATTTGCATGTTAGAACGAGTGGGGGTTCAAAGTCGGGCCATGTTGTTACCTGTTAGCAAGCTTGTAGATGAGCACGCCGCCGGCCACGAACGCTGTGGCGCTGTACAGCACTTGAGGATAGAGCTGCAGAAGGTCCTTGAACGTCTCCATTGCACGAACAGAAAAAACGCTTGGAAAAAGAAATTGTAGACGTATCTGTGTTTAAGTGTTTTTAATGTGTATGAAAGCTTCTCTTTTGTCAGGGCTCATGTGCCGGAAACGGAAATACGTCATCGCCAGGCCGCTTTCCAATAGGATCCGATATTCCAACTACGTTCATAAATTGGCGTAAAACGTGTTTGTTCCACGTGGATAAAATGAAGTTAGTTCATAACAAATAACCAACTAATTCAAATATGTCAAGATTTGTTCAGTTAGATGAGAAGTAGTCATTTTGTAAGATTCATCAAGAGCGTGTAACTCATCTTTTCTATGGTTGTCTCATTCGTATACAGTACGTGCAGGTTCTGGGGAAAATGTAGAGAAATCATTTTCTCAAAACACTAGCCATACTATAAATATTGATGGTAAAAATATTATCACTTGGGTTGATTACAAAGTTGCAGAAATTTGCAATGTTGTTGGTCTTGTTATTCTGTTAGGGAAATTTCATATTCACAAAGCCAATGTCCATGCGTTAAGGTATTTTTTGATGAAGCGTGATTGTTGTATTTGAGTCTCCATTTCGTCATGAAAAGTTAAAAAATTTTTGACATACACATCGTTTTTTATTTCAAATCTATAAATAACTTGTTTAAAAATGTTCATTTACTTAAATGTTGTTACTGAGTCATCTTTCTTTATAATGATGTAATTGAACTGAATGTCTGATTGATTGTATATGCTGTACTGTATTTCTTTTGTCTGTTTTCATTCGTTGTTATTTTGACAAAGTATGTGTGACTGAATTGTCAGAATGAATAAATGGTATGACGAATCAAAAAAAGAGATTCGAGATACTTGATTATTTCAATCATGAAACACACAATTTCAAATATTTGCTGCAATAATTCTATTTTAAAATAATTGTATTATAATTAAGAATCGAATCAATCAAGCTATATTACGGAGCCCCTAAGGTAACATGGAAGAAGAAGAAAAAAATTGCATTGCTCACAAAGTTCTTCGTATAAAGAAATTATATTTGAAGGAGGACTATTTTGCTTATGGACTCAGTAAAAGTAATGTTACGTATTTGCGTCTTCCTTGTCTCGGTGTTTAAATTAAACTCAATCTGTTATTAGGCTGTATATAGACCTTTTTTTGGGGGGGGGGGGGGGGGTTTCTTTTTCAAT